GATTCTATTATTAACACCTGGCATTTTTCCGTTCCTTTCCGCGCGCCAGACGCCGGGACTCGTTCTCCGATCCCGAACACGTGCGACCCGAGGTCCTCTCGCTCCTCCACGCGGCGGGCCCCGAAGAGTCGGGCCGTCCGAGTGCCAATGAGCGATCCAAACGAGTGCACCGGCGCTCGCGGATTCGCGCCCGCCCGGCCACGTGACCAGGTGCGCGCGCAGCGCGGTCCCCCACTCCGCGCGCGCGCGGCTGGTCTCGCCATTCCCGCGGCGGCGGTCGCGCGGGGCACTTCGTCGCGTCTCTCTCCCACCCGCGGGCGCCCGCTCTCCGTCTCGCGCTCTCGCTCCCTCGGTCCGCGTGCAGGGCGTGCGTGAGAACGCACGGCTCCTCCGCGCGAGCGCTCCTTGGCGCCACCGAGCGTACCGACCGGTATGCCGACTCCGATCGGATGCGACCATGGGAATGCACTCGACCGGGGCAACGCGCGTATGGGTCACCGCGGATTAAAATGGCGGACAAATGCCGATTTTAGATCGTACTCCTTTAACCAACATATCATCGAAGCTGATATGAAAGGAACATACTATATGTGCCCATAATTATGAAAGTGGTCCAAGTCATATATTTTTTGTTTCGAAATTACATTGAATTAATTTCGTTTGAAATAATATGGCGTGAAATAATTGATAAACTCATTTTTTTTTTTTTAATTTTGACTTAGACCACTTTCATAATTATGGGCACATATATCAAAACGTTAAAACATATATAATACTTGTCTTTAAACAGGATGCACGGAATAATCTGAAACTTTAACACATGATTAATGGAGGTCTTGAAACTTGAATTTCATTTTTAATACGTTTTTTCTTTTTAATTTATCCTAGACTAGAAACAAGAATACATACTTTTTGTTATGAGCATCACGTTCTTCCTTGGGATTTTCATAATCACGTGTTGACGTTTCAAATGATTGTGCACCTAGTTTGTAGGAAATTTTTCTAAATATTTTCACGCTTTATGTATATGTAGAATGACGCTTTCATATCAATTCAGGCTCTCATCTGAATGGGATCGCGATGCAGGAATTACGCGAAAAGAAGGATCGCCCGCGCCGACCGATCGGAGGAATCCGATGGCCGGTCGGATCGGCGGTCGCGATTCGATCGGGTATGCGCGAATCGCTCACCTGGCCGGTATAAATAAGCGATGGCCTCTGGAACGCTACCCGGTTACGTGATCGATCGATCGGCCGGCGTCGCCGGCTCGATGCTCGATAGCGATCTTCGGTAAACGATCGCGACGCTCCCGGGGAATTGGGCCTCTGATTTGTGGGGGGCAATAATTCACTTTCGAGCGCCACCGAGGGGGCCGCCCCTCCTAACGGGAGCGCGCGACTTCCTCGGCCGATTTCTCAGGATCGGGGCCTCGAATCGGCTCTGCCGTCCTGGTACCCAGTGGTCCCCGACGTGGACCAGCTGGATGTGCTGCTTTACCTATGCCCGAGTACCGGTAACGTCTTAATAATGACCGCCGTTTGCCAGTCACCGCGCCGTGGCGAATACCGGGAACGTTATATCATTACCACCGTCCACGGGGACGTCCTACACCTGAATCCGCGGGTTAAAAAGCGCGCTCCACGATTCGGTGGACGAAGTCGGATTTCTTTTTTTATCCTCCCTCCTCTTTTTATCATTTATTACCGACCCTCCGACGGTTCCAGGCTTCGGGGACACTGGGTTAGCGGTGCAGCGGGATCGGGTCCTGCGCTCGTCCTGGAGACGAGACTTTCGAGACCGGACGGACAGACCCCCTTTTTTTTCCTACGTATGGTATATCTACGGTACACTCGACATGCGGAATACCCGGAATATGCTCGCGGAGAAAAATAACCCGTCCTTTAAGTGATAAAGCCGGCCGCGTTCGAGCGGAACCCGGATCTTCTCGCGGAGTCGCTTAAGGCATCCCCGAGTGAAAAATCGCTTATACAAATTGCTCATGCATTATGCATAAGGAATTGGGCATGTAGATCCTCTATGCCAACTTTTGTATGGGCTACCTGCAGCGAGAGTGTCCGAGGGTACGAGTTTCGCATGCCTCGGATTCTTTTAAATTGCGGCGAGTCCATAATCTAAGTACTTATACCCTACTCGGGAAAAATCCTACATATCCTATTACCACATATTTTATGAGTATTTTCATTTCATATGTGCTTCTAAACAAAAATGCAATCGTTCGTTTACGTTATTTTAAACAATGTAGCTTGTACTCGTCCCTCATATTTAGCGTTAGATGACGTCTTTTATCCATTTAGACTACAGATAAAAAAACGGTATTTTTATTAGGTATTGCGATTATTTCACGAGTCATATTATTTTAGCATACATTATATCCAGTCCGCCATCAATTGATAAAAAATATTGTTTCTTCAGAAATCCCCTCGGCTTTTATAGGTTAGGGTCCGCAGGTTTGACGCCTTTCTCGGGATGGCGTCACGAGGCGTCCCAGAGGAATCCGGATCTTCCCGTGACGTCGCTCGAGGCCTCTCGGTGACGAACGTCGATGACGCTCGAAGGATGACGACTGACTCGCAATCGGTGAGTCGACTCGAACGAAACCGCGCGCGGCGATTACGTAAGCGGCCCTGGAGATCACGTGACCGGGCCGGGATTCCCCGATCCCGCGCTTGATTCAGTGGGGCATTGTCTCCGAGGGATCCGAGCCGAGCACAATGCCGCGGACCGATCGAAATCTGATCAGAGCGATCTATGATTTACGGCCTAACCGCCCCGCCCGGCGAAACTAACGCCATCTTTCTGGCGGCCGCTCCTTGAGGTAAAAGCATTATTTGAAATATTATAAAAGAATGGTTTCATTCAAAATTCTCCATTTCAGATTGAAAATTCGACTACGAAATTGCTACAAACATTATTAAAAATTTATTTATTTAATTGGATAAGTTAAAAAAAGAAAGGTTTCATTTAAAATTCGGATTTCAGATCCATGTTAAGAGGAAGCGCTCTGTAAACAAATAAGGGGTTGAAGGAAAGGTATGCCCAGAAAAATAAGACATAGTTTCTAACAGTTACTAATAATTACGTTACTACAGACATTTCATTTCCCTGTTCGCAGGGAATGTGGTGAATATTAATTTCTACCAAGTGTATCGATTATAAAATTGTGAAAAGGTAGATATGCAGTCGAGTTCTAGGTTGGATTTAGAGAATTTTGGGAGCCATCTTTGGGCTTTGGATGTGTTGGGATTTTTTAAGGGGAATCGAGGTTGGATCTCGATCTTCGTCGAGGATTCGCGAGGCCCTGATAACGGCTATTGGCTGGGCCGTTAACGCCGCACAGGTGGAGGCGTCACGGTAGACTTGCGAACCGGCAAGAAGACCCGCGAAATTCGCCGCCATTGTTCCCGCGGCGAGGTGGAGGCTGCTTTTCGAAAAGGAAAAATAAGGAAAGCCCGGCTGGCCCGGAGGGGGAGGGGAAAAATAAATCGCGAAATATAATAGGCCTGAGTTACGACTGCGGCTGTGTGGTCCAGGCTTGACCCTGGCTCTCGCAACGTGCATTTAGCTTAAGGTGCACTCATGAGCGAGCGTGTACTCGCGGGTCCAGCTCGAAGTCATGTTCGCCGCGGGACGGGGGCCTTAAAACGAGTCGGGCCTTAATTTATCGTCCCCGGGGAGTTCTCCGGGCACGAAACTCCTTTTCGCTCGAGATCGCCCCCCCTACCTCGGTTCCTACGCGGAAGCGTCGACGAAAATCGGGAGGAATGCAGTTTGCATTATTTTTCAAGAGAAGCTCTTTAGAGAGGTTTCTACATTATTTAAAAACCTCGGAGATGGGCGGAGCCGCGTCTCGGAAGACATGGAAGGATCACGGTCGAGCGAGGAAGATGTACAATGGCGGACATGAATGCCTCCCCTGCAGATGCGGCATCGCCTGTGCAGGATGGAAGGGCATTGATGTCTCCCAGTATACCAAGAGGCGCGGCGGAGTCTCGCGCCAAGCGCACGCCGGACCGGGTTTCTATAAGCGAACGTCCTTTCGCTGTAAAATTATTTAGATTGCCCGATGGAAAAACGAAGGAGACCGGTCACTGCGTGTAAGGCTAATACGCCTTTCTTTTGGACCGCGGTATTAAAAGGGAGGAAAGGAAAGCACGAGAGTGGCGGAAGCTCGCAACCGGTTCGATGTCCCGGGGCCAGCGCTTAAGGCTGTCTCTTCGCCCTTTTCTTTCTCTTGGATAGGCCGATTTCAAGATAATCGGCAGTTTTGAGTCGGGGTACTGGTCGGGAAGACGTCCCGAAGGAGATCGGCCTGCATCGCGCCTCGAGGTTGTCGCTGTCGACAAGAAGCTCCCTCGAAGAGCGACCGGAGGAGGTGGAAGGTGTACCGCTAACGGTTTACAACGGACACTTTGGTAAAAAGTCACGAGCTGCTTGCACCGCGCAGGTATCGCCGCTCGGTCGCGAGTCTTACCTGTGGGCACCCCGTAAACGTGTACGCGAACGCCGCACGCGCACAGGTAAAAACCTACGCGTAAGCGCATTTCGCACGTACGCACTCTCGTGCTCTCTCGCGCGAAACTCGACAAGGACGGCTTTTTCCACCGAATCGCGGAGGACGCCGTTTTTGACCACCGATTTCGGACCGGTCCTGCAATTCGCGGCGACGCATTCGGCCCGACACCTGATGGCGATACGTCAGGGCAGCGTTTTGCCCCTTCCTCTTGTTCCTTAACGATCGGGTCAAGGAACTCTGTCAGGAATTTTATGATTCGTCCACCGAGGCGCCGGACCCTCGGCGTATTCTATAAACGAACGACTTTACGAGACGTTTTCTGCATCCCCGTTTCGATACGGGGAACCAAAATGGCCGCCTCACTTACCTGGAGAACGCTTCGGGGGCGGACGCACAGGAAAGGGACTCCCACTCAACGTTACTTTCATTTTATTGAATAATCAAAAGTGGTAACACCATAGCGACATCATTGTTCTCTCTTTCTCGTCCCTTCCCGTGGATGGCGAGGGAGTTAACCTAGCTACCAGTGGTACCGGTGAAGTTGCGACGTTTCCTGAGACAGAATACGAATCGAGTGGGAACCGTTGATATACTCGCGATGCGTGTCGGAGGATTTGCGTGGTCGTCGCCAGCGAGCTACCAGGAAAGACGAAGGTTGCAACGACGTGGACATCCCCGGAAGGGGACCGGAAGCTGAAAGAGGACGCCGCGTCCGCGTCCCTTCCGAGGCGGCCGCTTCTTCGGCAAATGGCGTCGCTTCCATTGGCATCCCTACGCTTAACCTTTAATTCCCCCTAACTACCCTGGTCCACCTTTCGCGCCATCCTCCTCTGATACGCATCTAGATAAATCTACCGTGTTAAAATCCCCTCTAGCGGAAGAAGAACAATGGCGGCGAGGCGCCATGTTTCCCGCGTCGCGTCGTCCGTCGTCCCGTCAAGCGGTCGTCGGCGCGGCTGTGCTGAAGTTATGAGTAATACGTTAATAAAGTGAGTCTATTCGAGAAGGGACGCACCCCTTGCACGCTTCCCGTTTGTCAAGGCAACTGTTAAGAGTTTTAACTTTTCGATTCTTGAGTTCCCCTCGCGCGGCGGAAGTATACATTTAGTGGGCAATGCGGATTTTAGGTGATATTATACCTCTTCGTTTGGAGGTTTCGACGTGGAAATGGGAAAAAGAGTGGGGTAATTCGCTAAACCGCTTCGGATGCAGGCCAGGGTTCTTGCACGGCTCTTGTTGCGGGGTACGGTTTGACCACCTCTGCCTCCCCACCATTGGGAATTCTTCGAGTACAGTGGACCTCCGTTATTACGCGGAGAACAGGTCCCGGAGTAAAGATTAAAGGGATCGCTTTATAAGAGACTCTCTACGGCCTTCCAAGATATGAAGTTCCCTTTCACGGTGCAGCGCGGCGAGGGACTGATAAGCCATCGGAAAGGCGGTGATAAGCCATCAAAAGGCGGTTAGTCTGACGCGATACGTGTTATAAAAAGATAGAGTTTCTTATTTACGTTACAAGGTGGAAGAAGGGTTACATAGTGCGAGGTTGATTTACAACGTTACGGGAAACCGCGCTGGACGGGGGTCGCCATTTACGGGGGTCTACTGTACGCCTCTGGTGGGGAGACAGGAGCTCTCAAACCGATCCCAGTCCTGCTCGACTCGAAGCCGGGAAGTCACCCTAAACTTGCGATTATTATCAATAACACCCCCGCCGCTTGATCGCGGACCAATCTGCGACCGACAACATTCGCATTCAGCTTTTACTCCTAGTAAATCGTGTTAGCTTAGAAAAAGAAAACGAAACAATGTATACACTAGAATACTTTCGGGGCAGCAAACAAACGCAATTTCGTTAGAACGTATATTCACGAGAGTCGACCGAGAGTCTAATCTACCGTTCTCCTAGAGGTTTCGTATCGATTACTTGCTATTCATACATTTTCGTACGTCTAACCACTCTACTGGAACGTACTACCATCCTCGTGAGATTAAAATTAACACTCGAGTATTCAGCTCCGCCCCCTTTCCTCTTTCTCTCTCTTACTCTCCACACGTTCTCAGGCTCTCCCTCTCTTCTATGCTTGTCATTCGCTACCGATCGTTAAGTAATCGTAACTCGTCAAAAAATAGGACTCGATCTTTCCTCGCACTCTCGCACTCGATCTCGCGGTCCCGAGGCTTTCGATCGTTCTAACCTCGATTGGCTCTTCGCGCCCGTTTTCGACCCCCTCGAGATCTGGACAAAGTCGCCAAGGAGGAAACCTGGAAAGAAAGGTGAACCAAGCATCCCTTTTTGTCCTAAATCGGCAAATGGTACAATGGCGGACATGAATGCCTCCCCTGCAGATACGGCATTGCCTGTGCAGGATGGGAGGGCATTGATGTCTCTCAGTGTACCGCTTGGACCACCTCTCTTCCGCAGTTTAAGGCGATGCGGAAGTGGCGCCGCTGAGGTTTCGTTTATGAAACTTTCCTCCAAACTGAGTGTACCGAATAATTTCAAACATTACAGTGTGAATATGGAGGGTAAAAGAAAAGTCCTGAAACTCATCGAATTTCAATTTTTTTTAAAATCTGTTCATAGGCATTGTTAAAATTTGCTATAAGAAATGAAATTTCATGAGCGTCAGAACCTTCCTTATTGTCTCTATGTTCACGTAGTAAAGCTTGAAACGATTCGGTACAGCCAGTTCATAGAATGGTTTCATAAACGATTGACCCTCCGAATGCCACTTTCATGTCACCTCAACCTCGAAGAAGAAGAAGACGAACATTGGCCTCTCGTCTCCATCTCCTTTCTCGGAGAAAGAGGGTCATCTGGCGGAAACTTTCGGTCGGAATGTTCGCCTTCTTGCGCATTTTGCCTAGACGCTGTTTCTTTTTTTTTTGGGCTCCACATTTTTCGTCGCTTCTGGCTCGCTTTTTTCTTCCCTAGTCTAGCCCTCTTTCTCGCGCTCGGAGAACGGGCCCTTCGCTTACAGGATTAATCGTTAGCCTCGCTTATGAACTAGCCTAATCGCTAAGTCTGACAGTGCATAAAATCCCGAGCAGTCGTGGGGCCGTAAGAAAAATACAAAGTGCGCACCGTCGTTCTCCAACGGTGGATCCGATCGATCCGCCTCGTTGCTCGTAATCGATTGTACCTGTATTACAGCTCGATTACAACCCGCCGCTTACCACTAACTGTAACATTATCCGTATAGCAGTATACTGCAATGTTAACGCGTTAATTAGGCCTCTGCGAATAACGCTAACGTTCGACTGGTCGACCTCGGTATCGAAGAGCGCCGTTCGACCTGATCTTTCGATGGCCTCTTTTTCTTTTCTTTTTTTTTTTTGGTGTTCTCGCTTTATAATTATATTCCACGCTCTGTCGAAATTATGGTACTTATTCTTGTCTTTGCGTACGAAGAATGAAAAAAAGAAGAAAAAAAAAAGAAGAAAGATCTCAATTTTTTACACCAATTACACGGATGCGCTCAGGAGAGGAGTAAAACTGCATGCGAAATTGCATTCTAAAGGTCGAGCAATGCAATTTGAATTTCAATCATATGTAATCTTATATGTACGAGTATATGTAAAAATTCGATTGAACGAGATATAGATATGACGGTACCATTTAGGAATATCATTTTTCATTTCCAATGATTTGCAAAGGGGGACCGAAACAAGCAGGACTTGGAACGTTAAAAGGTAAGTTCACGATTAGAATGTACAATTCATATCTAAAAACTGAAATCCTTTTGCAAGACGTGTACGACACTTGGGGAAGGGAACGTAGAAATATAAAAATTGGACTCGTAATAAATATCTACATTTGTCAGAATTGTCCGGAGTAATCGTTCCTACGACGGCTCTGAAAAGTGCATTATAGATACCAAAACGGAGCTAAAAATAAACACACATACACACACGCACTTCGGGAAAAACGGCTGTGCTTACGAAGCGATCGAATAATTGCTCTTTTTATCAGAAACAATAAAGCGATCGTTGCTCTTATTGAATAAAACAATTCGAGTACCTTGGCTCGAATAATTCAACATGTCCTATATATAATTTTTTCTCTTAAGAAGATAGTTTTCTCTAACCCTATTCAATTCTTTTCTCCAGTAATCCTAAATCTTTACTACTTACTTGTGACACCGAGTGACAACGAACCGCCAAGCCACGAGTCTTCAAGGACTTCAAGGAAGTCTGTTCCTCCGAAGAGAAAAATCTGCAAAAAGCTCCACGCGCATGTTAACAAAGAATTTTTAAATCTTCCTTCCTAGTTACAACGCTATTTCTCTGTGAAGTATTTGACCGCACTGGAAAAAAACAAAAAAAAAAAAGATTAAAACATTCCAATAGCGCTTCATCCAGGAGAGGAAAAAAGATCCAGGATAAAACGCCATAAGAATGTTCGTTACCTCTATGAAGCAAAATCTACGTGACGATTTTGACCGGTTCACCGTCACTCCGTGTCTTTAATTCGGTGAAGAAAATTTCTCTATGTTAAAAACCATCAAGTGGAGTTAGGACTTCAGCTCGGCCATTTTTTGGAGAGAATTCGACTCGGAAAAGATCAAATCGGACAGGCCGTTCGCCTAGATTCGAGTCGTCCGTTATTCGCACAGGTCCAGTGTTAATATTAAGGTTACTGTTGCCTTAAGGAGTAATTCGCGACCGAGTTCGCCGAACACCGCGTACGTACACCGGGCGCGGATAAATTCCGAAAAAAGCCCCCGCCCCGAAGAGGGCGACGAGCGATCTCCCCGAAGAGAGGAGGCGCACCCCCGACGACCCCCCTCGATCAATCGGGTCGATCGAAGCGATCGAAGGCCCTCCCCTCTCCACTTTCCGCCTCCCTCTGGGCCGGAAAATTCGAAAACTCGAAGAAGCCCCCTTTTCCCTAAGGCGTACTCGCGCCTGCTCTGCCGATCGGGGGCGAATCGTCGAGACCGCGGGCGCGAGTTCCTCCGAAGAGGTCCCAACAACTAAACCGAAGAACCGACGCCCCGCCAGAGGGCGCAAGGATCCAATGTACATTCGAGAAAATGTTACAAATATATTATAAACACGATTAAAGGATACACAAGCCGGCCACAATAAATGGCCGGCCGGTTGGATAAAATCAACGTGGGAAGTAAAAAACGCCGGGAACTAATCTCCTTCCTCCCCGCGGCCGCGTCCTTCCTCGCCGACGAGTCTCTTCGAGCCGCCATCTTGCTTTTCCCGTTCTCCGTAACCTTTCTTCTCTAATCGATAATGCCTCGCTCTTGCTCTCCTTGATCGTTATTCTTCTCCTTCCTTCCCTTCGCCTATCACGCCGTACCCCTCTGATATCTCTCCATGCTTTGTATTCGCTGGACCAGCGGATATCTCTCGCGTCGTTCATCGAACGTGGCTTCCGACTCCTCGGTTCAGGGCGAAGCTACACAGGGTGACGCAGCCCAGGACTCCTGGGTCCTCTCGCGGGACACTCGTGTCACATGTCATATGTCACGCGTCAAATGTCAACCTTTTCCTGTAGCGCGCGCACCGGCAGGGGTATCTTCTCGACGTTTCCTTTAGCTTCCTCAGAGGTTCTTACTAGCGCAATCGAAGATCCTTATTCTCTGGCGATCGAGCACTGCTGGCCCTAGGTGGAACTTACGTGGTGAGAACGGTCGCTTCGACCAATCGGCGACGATCTGGAGATCTGCTGGCTTGCTTGTCTTCGGAGTTGGGTGATTTTTATTAACGGGCTTAATCGAGCTCTTTACTCATCCTAGACCCGCCCATTGCATGAAATCGGGTACTTCCCTGACCGGCACGTCCCTGGCCAGGGCCTTCACTCTCAGGTTCCTGTCTTCCGTCAGGAGGACCACTTCTCGTCGAAGACGTCTCGGCTGGCCCTCTTCTGCAACAATAGGACGGTTTTTTTTTAATATGTCGTAATGGCTATCGGATCTGGAGGCACGGATCGCGAGTAAGATTCAGGAGTGAGGATGTACCGGCAGGTTGGAGGACCACTTGAAGAACGGCCTCGATAGGGAGGACTTCGGAGGGAACTTCGTCTTCTCGTCCTGACTCACCTGTACTCGGCTGATCCTTGCTACTGGCCCTGCAGAGGCTCAGGCAGGTGGCCAGAATCCTGTCGTCGTTCCTTGTAAGACCATCCTGGAAACGAAATCACAATTCCAATCGTGGAGGATTGTTCTCAAAAATTTTTTTTTTTTTCATTTATTGTACGGAGCTTTCCGAAAAGCTTCGGAAGGACTCGACGTTGCCAGCCAGGATTGTCGTTCGTATCATAATAATAGGAGTTTAAATAATAGAAAAATTCAGAAGAGCCGAAAGCTTAGTTCCTCGTACTTGAAATGTCAGGTAGACACGTGGGACTTTTTAATTCTTACTTAATATTTATTTAACTTTTCTTCTTATGCAAACCTGATCAACGTCTTCCTCGACGGTGAAGGTGCTGGAGGTGAGCACGGTTCCTCGAGTGGTGAGACACTTGATGGCAGGATTCCTACTCCTGGCGAAGGCCAGGGCGGATTTTGCGTTTTCGGCAACTCTGGCCACGTGTTCCGGATCCAAGCTCGCCCTGGAAGCTGGGGGGCAGTTCCTGGGACTGGCACCCCTGGTCAGTCCCTCCAGTTCGTTGAGCACTGCAACACCGAAATATCCCCATTCACCGCTACTTCCTCCGGTCTTTATCAAGCGAGTCGAATCGATTTGGCCCAAAACTTCGATCCGCTCAAACCCTCCGCATAAAAAATCTAAAATTCCAATCGGGCCTGAAAACTGAACACCTCAAATCGCAACTCCCCAAGACTCTCTTTTGGCCGGCAATTTACTTCAAATTTCGTTATGTCAAAGAAGGACATTAAATGGGGAATGAATGATGGAACGATGTCTAAGAATGATTAAAACTAGTCCCACCCTTTGTCAACGCCCGAACGTCCCTAAAATCCCCGGAAATATCCTGAAAATTGCGTAACCGTAAAAAAGGACATTAAATAGGCAGTCGAGCTCACGAACTGTATATCAAAAAGTCATGTCACTCCAATTCGAAGGACGGAATAATATCTAACAATGAGTCAGATTAGTCCCGCCCTTTATCAACGCCCGATAAACAGAGCGCCCCGAGGACAACAGGGTGGAGGCGGAATTAAGTTTCCCCTAAGTTTGCCGAGCGGCTGAAAGCCTCGACCCTCCCCGAATTCGAAGGACCTCGCTTCCCGTCGCCCCCTAAGGACACCGGACTCGGGAAAGTTAGGTTAGGTTAGGAAATACGACGGGGACTCCATATTCGGGGACGCACCCTCTCGGGTCCCAGGGAGAGCCCCAAATGCAGCAATCCTAAGAGGATTTGCCGAGTTCGCCCCCTTTCCTCGATTCCCTGCGAATTTTCGGATCGTTACGGGCTGACAAACACGCTAACGGACCATCCCGCCGATGCGGAATAATTAATAATAATATACACAGTCAGCTGATGACGACGCGGCCCCCGAGTCCCTCCCGAGGGGCGGTTCACCCCTGCGCGTAATCGCGGACGTTTCCAATTTCCACATGGCATAGAGACCTTGTTATTACCATCAATCGCAACCCCGATACTACGTAACAAGGCGATTTGCATAATGCCACGGATTAATATCATAAATTGCTACCGAGGGTATCGAGTAAAAAATATGCAAAACGTTTTCAATGATGGCCGCTCAAGTGGACCAACTCTGGGGTCAATATTTCTCTTTTTCGCTTGTATTTTGTTAACGTTGATGGGTATACTACAGGAAAATGTTAAGGAGGTCCTTGGGCAGGATTCGAGACCAGGAATGCAAGGACGAGGCAAGCGCGTTGCGTTTGATGAAAATATGGGCATTCCGGTAACGATAACGCCGTTTCCGGGGCGGTCCAGGGGATGATGCGCTCGGGGGTGTAATTCCAGACATTTCCAATATCCACCCGATAAAACCCCATTACAGCCAGGCATAACCGCGGAATTACGGCGGGGATAATCTGCATAATGCCGCGGATTGATTTCGGAAATTGCGCCCGCTGTAAATAATACCGATATTAATCTCGGGGATATGAAGAGTGTAATGAAATAGTCTCCGGCCGCCGGACAAAGGGAGATTTTGTATATAAAGGTCTGATAAAACTGTCGGTAGTGGCTCCCGTTTTCGACACCATGAATGATTCCCGTTCCCGAAGAGGTCGAAGACTTCTCTCGCCCTTCCCGAAGAGATTAAGGGGACGACGAGAAAATTGGCGTGGCTCGTCTAATCCGGATTACGAAGCTCGCGGCGATTAAATATTGATTGGCCCTGATGGGGTCTAATCTATAATTCAAGATGGATCACGGGGGTGGGTTTGGCTTCCTGGGGAACGATTACCCCGTCAGGAAGATTATCCTACCATCAGCTTCCTTTTCGTCTCCGCCAAGACGGGAATCTTGCCCCGTAAGAGCGGCAAAGAATCAAGGGATGGTGGTCTTTCTTTTTTTTCCATTTTCTCGTTAAGTTCCTCACTAAAATCTACTAAAAATCCAGCAATTTTTTCCCGAGCGACAATTTCCTCCCCTTTGTGGTCGCGGCTCTCGAAATCCAACGAGTGAATCTCGCTCTGGAAGGAACTCTTTGCCCAGGGGTTGGCACGCAGTCGACGGCCCTGGGGCACGCGATCGGAATCCCGATTCCTCTGGCGAAATACTTTCAATCGGTCCCGGAAATTCGTAGGAATCCCGTATGCATTACTCCGCCCGGGCCTCGACTCGCCACCTTGGCGTGAAAAATTCGAGGAGCGAGCGAGCTGCCGATATGTCCTCGGAACACCGAGGAATATAAAGTGTCTCCTCGGCTTCCCAATTTCGGGGCTCCCAGATTGCTCCTCGAAGCCCTCTATAAAAAAGCGTCGAAGACCTCGCACCAACGGCGGCCTCGACCGGGTGGCATTTCGGATGAGCGTTTGCAACCGAAAAATGAAGTGAAAGACGAAGGAGGCCCTCGAGGAAGGTTCCAAGCAATCGAGGGGTTCGTCTATCGATTGCGAGTCGATCGATTCGTCCCTGGTGACCGGCGATCGGCGCCGATTACCATTTCGAAATCCCGGCCGCAACACGGCGCGGATTGCGCAAGGTCAGGGCAGTCCGATCAGCTGGAGCTTGCCGGGAATTCCCGATCGGTGGCAATAGATAATAGAGGAGTCGAGTGCAGAAGATAATGGGCACCTCCGCGGGATCATCACCTCTTAGGAGTCGCTCGTTCTCACGAGGACGACTCGCCGCGACAGGGATGACCCATTCAAGGGATATATCCTGGTTTTATCGGAGGTCGATCCACCGAGACTCGATCGATTCCCTATGCGGTCTCGAACCCAGTAGGCGGTGCTTTAACGACCTAGACCGATCCTAGGATGACCCGAGGACGATCTGGCTGGAGGTTCCTTGCCCCCGTTAAAGTCTCCACTAGGTGGTCGCGACCGTGGAATTATTTATCGGTGATTATTTAGGGTTACATCGAGTCTTCGGGGCTGGGTCCCTTTATATTCGGAGCTGCCCTTTGGAGGGGGAGCCGACCGAGGATAATCGGCATCCTTTGGCTGAGAAACGTTCCTCGGGGTCGGAGGTCAGCTGCCCCTCGGAGAACGCTCCCGTCGATGTAAATCCACCCGGTACCCACCAACGGCGCACGAGCCAGACCTCCGAACCTTCTTTATATAAAAAGATCCTCTCTAAAGGGCCTTTGTGGCTTAGCCACGAGAAGCGGCTTCGCCGAGGCGTTGAGACCTCCTGAAAAGAGTCCTGCAGGACCCTGGTCTCTTTATATCTCCTTCGGAGACGAACTCCGCGTCACCCACGAGGGATAGGAAAGAGGACGGATTTTCATCAAATGGATCACTCACCGACGAGGGGAACCATCAAGGTGTATATCGGCTGCGCACCGGAAGTGGCCTTTGCGATGGTTTGCAATTGTTGCAAGTAGTCGATGAAGCAGTTCGTGTCCGGCACCAGTTGTCGTGGCCTCACCTCGATCTCCACCGAGACGGAAGACTTCTGTAGGATCGCCTGCGAGCAGAACATTAAATCCATGAATAAACCTCGTAAATATATAAATAATTATCATGAAGAACTTGTAATTGCGATTCAACCTCAAACAAGAGAAAATAGTCTCCTCTAGTCCAAAGGAAAGTTTCCCTAAAAATGTTTCACTTTTCATGGATGGTCATACGCAAGCTTTGCACGAATCGAATTTAATTCTGCGCTCGGTAGGGTGGTCTCATTTGAAAAAGGGAAATTTGCGTTGCTCCCAGGAGTTTATGTAGGATTCCTTCCTCGATGGTTGCAAGGACTCGACGAGATCTTCGAGTTTTTTCCCGTACGGGGGATCGGAACGGGTCTCTCGGTAGGGAATGACGCCAGGACGTCGGAAATCGATGGGCCCGATAAAAGAGCCAGGAGAAGCGGAGACGGTCTAGCGATCGGAGGGTCAAAAGGGCTCTCGGGGTTTCCAGGAAAGGGAAGGACCCGCGGGATCGCAATCGAAGTCCTCGGAATGGCGTCGCGATTACGCGATCCAATTAAGGGCCCCGCCACCGGGAACAATGGCTGAGAGAGGAGGCTCATTGTCGGGGGCCATTGTCGCGACATTGCCGATCCGGAGCTCTTAACGACCCTCGAAACGTGCCCCCTTCCCGCACCCGAGGACACCTCCGGAATGGCGTCGACCGACTGCAGGTGCACTCGGCATCCGCATCATGGAGGCCGCCATTGCAATCGGAGCTCCATCTCTAGGATGCACATTCTAGATGCATCATTTCCCCCGGGACTCCCCGCTTTCCAGATTCCCTGGCGGTTCACGAATCCACGTGGCATTTTGGAACGGAGAGAGAAAAAAAAAAAAGAAAGAATTGCGCCGACCGAAAATTCCCTTTCACGTCCTAAGGATCTGCCGTGAGAAATGGCGGCCGCGCCGGTCAAAGAAATGCAACGCAGGCGCGAACGAAATCGCAGGTTCGCGCGATTCCTCGAGATATTCAACGCTCGGACGAGGCCGAGCGGAGACGACGCCATGGGAAATGAAGAGATCGGCGACTCGGCCGATCGCGCTCGAGCACGGCCCCGGAATACAAAGTGAAGCGTGCACTCGGCTGCATTGTAGGCAAATTGCGGGCACGCGTCGCGCTGGATGACGTCTTATTACCCCATGGGGCCCCAATGGCGAGTCATGGCTCCTGCAGGCCGCTAACGCCGCTGCGGAAACGTGCCGGTCACGTGTCGCTTGGTAAATCTTCGCCGTATTACAGATTTCTCCGAATTCTGCAGCCGAGGGGGCCTCCAAGGTGGCGTTCAGCCGCGAACTCGCCGACTATTCGCCACTACGGACTCAGTTTGACTAAATTCCAGTAGAAATGATCATTTCCAACACGTAACCATTCAATTTGGTGTATAAAATTGCGCGATATCGGGGAATAATTCGGATTTACGGAGGCTCCTTGGTGCACCGCGCGCCGCCATCTTGGATTTCGCGACGCCGGCTCGGTTGGACAGGAATGCTCACAAAGAAGCGCTCACAGTTTCGTCGGGGAGATGAAAAACACCATGAAACGATTTAGTACCCCTGCGCCCATCGCCTGCTATCTCATTCATCTGATAAAAGCGTCCCCGGTGATTACGGCGATAAATTATCGCGAGCCGACCGTCGGGAATCGGGGTCGCGTCCGCACAGACGCGCACCCTCGATATCTCCGAGTCGCTCACCCGAGTGACGCTCACATGAGTCATTTATCTAGAAAGGGTTAAATGCGAGATATTCCCCTTCGAGGGACTCGATTCTCGAGTTCGTACGATCAACATTCGCCTGGAAAATCGACTCTCTCGTATAGGACTTTGAAACGTTGCCCAATGACGCGACTTCGCAACAATGGGAAATTTTTCATGGGAATTTATTGGTGCGGGAAAAACCCCTAAAAGAATAAAAATCCAGGACATCCAATCGCGTCTCATGGTCGCATCGCCGCGTCATCGCGTCGCGTTAAGCTAAAACGTCGAACGACATTTTTCTACCCGAGATGCCGCGCGCGATGCCAAGATGGCGGCGCCCTCGGTCGCGCGAGTTGGACCACTCCCGTTTAGAGTGTCGGCGAATTCCTGAAGGACCTTGCGTGTACCGTTGGCAGAGCCTCTCTTCCTCTTCTTCGATCCCCCCGAAGCACCCTCAAAGCGCCGTGCCGGCCGTGCGGCACTCGTGAGAACTCGCCTCGAATCACGCACCGCGACGCCTCGCGGCCGAGCATATTAAGCGCCGCCGACGCGACGCCTGGGCGACGCGACGCGAATTAACCTCCTTTCCGCATACCGCGCTCCGTCAGCACCGAATTTGCCCCTTTTTTTCTCGCGACCCTAAGGTGACACGAAAATGGCACCTAAAACGTCACTTTCGTTGATACTTTCGCGAAAGTATTTCCCGAATTGGGTGTACCAATTTATTTCAAATCTTACCACACGAACTTCATAAACCCTAAGATAGGTCCTGAATCGCGGGAAATTAAATTTTTTATATATATATAAAAATCTTCAACATATCTATAAAGAAATTTTATTCAAATTGGAATCTCATGGGTGTCAGGACCTTCATTGTAGCCTTCATATTTACTGACCTCAGCGCACGTCAATGATAAGTAATCCATGTAAAATCGATATAATCGATCCGTACGGATTTTTCCAATGCGATGCACTGCGACACGCGACGCCAATAACGCGTGTGGAGGTTAAGGTCACTCTCGATTATTACCGTCTATGAAAGAGGCGAGACTCGAAGGACACGCTTGGTTATGATCGACACTTTTATTAGTTTCAATTTTGCTCGTTAGATGCGACAATATAGACGTGGGATTTTGAAAACCTCCACTCCGATCCATTTAAAGAGTGCCATTCGCCGAACAGAGGATCCAGGAAAATGAGGAAGACGTCGGTGCCCCGAAGCGAGCCGCACTTCCGGCGTCGGCCGCGCCGCGGCGCTGCCGAGGAAACGCGAACACGCATTAAAGGGCGTCGAATCCAAGAAGCACGCGCATCTGCGCACGCGTAATATCCTGATTACATCCCAGGAGCCGAGGGAGACGCCTCTGATGGCTATTTAATTGTGAATGCATTAAGCCGAGGCGACGGGCAGCGCGAGGCGCTTCCGCTGCGCCTCCTCGGAACAGCCGCCATCTTGGATAACCGAGGCGAGAGGAAATACCCATAAATTGCGGTGAAAAACGTTAAAAATATTAATTTCATCGTTATAATTAGACGTAATAAGATGTATACCCTTAATTCTGGGTAGATAGGAGGAGAATACGACCGCCGATCCGAAGAAAAGAACGAAACTCAGGCGTTTCGCGGTCGATCGGTTCGAGAGCGGAGGCGAAGAGGACGCAACGAGTCGCTGCAAATCATCGGCGATTCGAATGGGTTCTAACGGGGGCCCCCGAACGTCGTTACCCGGTCGTTCCGCGTTAACGTCGTTTCACAATAACCACTCGGGGTTATAAATCAGGATTATTACGGCTCGGCGGTCCTGCGCCGCATCTGTCAACTCGCGGCGCATCTGTTGCTGGACACTCGCGCGTATTGACCGAATCCGCGTCCGAAAGCGTCAGACGCGAGGCAATCTACCTGTCGCGGGAAATCATGCTCAACGACGATAATCCTCGTTCCCTTTATCCCGGCTGGTCCACCGATCGACCCATCGATTGGCCCGCCGATAAATCGGGGGCCCGTTCCTCAAGGCCCGATTTAATGGAGCGGCGTGGTCGGATGATGGATCCTGGCCTGCGGGACCGATCTAAATGGCGTGACCGTAATTCCATCCAGGGTTTATTAAGGAGGAATTAGCGGGCCCGATCGGGCTTACACGCGGAAAGTAATCGCATTCATAAATGCAACAGTTGCGCTACAACGACCGCCGCGTGTAATGGCGCTCGCAAATCAGATCGCCCGCGGCCTAGACCCATAAAGAACGCCCACGCGAGGACCGGCCTTGTATGTCCAGTTGACGACCAGGGAGCACCTGGCTGAGATCAGGAGATGCCGATCTCGCCTCGGGTCGATCCCCAAGGACGATTCCTCTTCGAGGACCGACGGGACTCCTGGGACCCTAAATTTAAACCCCAAGGATCAAGGAACCCAACTTCGCCCGACCATTTTCCGAGGGACTCGATCAGATTTTCATATCGGTAATAGTCTGGCTATAGTAGTATCAGGATTTAGTAATCCTGTTAGCGGAGTATTTTGTCATGGCGTGAAGGAGATAGGCGTGGAATTGATAACTGATGGAAGGGTCCTTTCTCGGTACATTAGGCCGGTCATCGACGGGGCGAACACCCTCTTGTGGTCCTCTCGCGCAGACACTTCAGACAACGGCGAGGTCCTCTTCAGCATCCTCGGGAATTTCCCTCCGGTACCTCGTCGAGGGAATCATCTCTCTCCGCATTCCTTCCCGTTGACTGTGGAGAGATGCTCCTAACGATGTCAATGTTTGCGTCGGTGTGGGAAACCGCTCGCTAGCCTCGGGCCGATCCTAACCTCTCTTTCTCTTTGGGCACGTATGTCCTTAAAGGGTGTACTCGTTATCCTTATCGGACCCTGGAATATGGTTCGCGTCGCGAAGACATCCTTTCCTTCCAAAAATTTATCTCGCGGTAAAATAGCTCGAAGGACTCTATGTGATAAGGGTATTAAAAAGAAAAAGAAAATTCTGGAAGTAAGGAATAAATTTATAAATAAATGCTAAGACTGGCAGAGGTTATCTTTTTTCATTCTACCTTTGTCGGTCTTAGGAAATTTAGATTTTTCGCTTCTCGATGAAGGGGTTAGGACTTCGGGTGAGTACCCGTACCCGAAATGTCTACGCGTGTCGAGGAGTCGTGAATACGCGTCCCTCTGCCCGCGAAAGGCTCTTTATGTTCCAATCATCGTGACAAAAACCCTGCGAAATCCCTTCCTCGCATTCCCGTCGAGACGTCGAAACCAGAACATCCCCTTTCCACCCTCGACCTCATCCTTTACACTCCGGTATTCCT